CCAACAGCTCCGTGTCCTTCTCCTGGTGGGACCCTCCGATCTGGAGGCAGCACTGCAGGGGGGTCTCCCCAGAGCAGAGCGCAGCAGAGGGGGGATGCAGGGTGCTCTCTCCCGTGTTAGTGTGTTAAAAGCAGCGTGGTGGCAGGGAACGGCACGGCTGACTGCCTCTCTGGGGCAGGGGGACGGGAGCAGCGTGGGGCCCGCAGGCGCTGCCGTGCCCGGCAGAGGTGAGGGGGCAGCTCATGCCTCACCCGGCCCCGCTGCGGGAAGCAGAGCGATGCCCGGGAAACACAGCACTCCGGCTGAAATCCGCTACTCGCTCAAAGCTCTGAGGCTGGTTTAACGCTACCAGTTTAAATTCTACGTTTTAAGTAAGGCGAAGAGGATGCTGCTTAGTATAAAAACAATTTTCAGTTTGTTTTGGTTTTTTTGCTTTATGTTTCTAAAACAGTCGTGCTGCAGGCACAGTAGTAACATGAGTCCAAATTATTGATCCCCCCCAGTGACTCTCCTAACTGCAGTCAAAATACATGACTTAAAATATTGGTCCCCCTCATCCTTTGACCTCCGCAGGATTGGGGCATGGCTAATTCTCGGAGAGGTACACGATCCCGCACTGCGCCTCAGGTTTGTGTTTGCACGTCACGGGGGTTTCGAGGAGATAAACAGCCCTTAAGCGGTCCCTGCATTTCTTTTGTCATAGCTTCTCTCCTACAAATTTATAAAACAAACGTCAGGCGTCTACCTGTACAGAACCTGAGAGGTAAAAAACACTTTCACATTTGGAAATGTTTAGCAATTCCCGCAATTATAATTGGTTGCAGCTTTGAAAATAAAGCACACATTTCTGAGACCCCCAAATATTTTTTAAAAGGGAAACGACCGGCTTATTTTGGAGGGGAAGAAAATACATCTGTAGTTGTACTGACCTTACCCCTGCTTGGTTGAGGGACTTGAAGTCAGTGCTTTGGGTCTTAAAAGGTTAGTCTGGGAAACTGTTAGTCGGAGAAATTGGAAAATTATAGTTCTTGGTTAAATAAAAGGTGTGGGTGAACCTCCAGTAGTTGCAGTTTGGGCACTCATGTAATGTATGATAATGGTTGCGACTTTTGGAAGCGATAAATTGAGTTTAAAAAAAATATCCAAGGTTTTTCTACCAATTAACAAAGCAGGAGGTGACTATGTCATGGTTGTCACTTGTATCTCTAAGCAATTTTGATTTTGTTTTAATTCTTTTAAACTCCAAGCGAGTTGGCTGTTGACCTGATCTCTCAGGGTGTTTGACCTCGATGGTGATGTTTCGATATATGCCTGTATTCAGAACCTAGAAGCAAAGAACCAAACTGTAAAACTAGATTAAAAAAATAATAATGAAGAGCATTTGAAACTCACTGAATTTCTGACCTTTATTTTGAACATTTAAAATGTCTTTACTCAAAATATATATTTAGTGGCTGCTCAGAGAAGCTCCTTATCCGATCTGCTCATCTCTAATACGCCTGTCAAATTTTAAATGAATGTCTGAAATCCTGAATACCGGCGCTCAGACCCTTACCTTCCGTATTTCGGCAGAGCTTCGCTCACAGCAGCGGGGACGGGCTGCGTCACAGCCAACGAGGGGTGGCCAAGTTATGGCTCTGCTGCCCTAAGTTAAAGGAAGGAACCAGCCCAAACTCTTTATTTTGGAGTGAGCTAGTTACAAGCAATGGGGAAGATTGTGAAATAGAGTGGATAAATCGTTCTTCATGCTGCTTAACCTCAGTTTATAAAGTGTTAATTGTTCTATTGCCTTTTCAAACAGCACAGCCCAGCTGACTTGGGAGCATTCCTTTGCATTTGCAACCTCAAATTATTTTCACTCCCGAGTGATTTACATTTCACCCTTGGGGCAAAAGTAACCCCCCGACACCCTCTTCTGCTGGGACAACGTGTCGCTGTTTCCGAGACCTGTTGTTTGTAAACATCGCAAAGGCACCCGTGTCCTGCTTCCTTCAGCAAACCCGCCCAGACGGGACCTTCTGGTCGCTTGAAGGGCTGGAGGGAAGGAGATGGAGCTATGGAAGCGCAGCCCAGGCAGGACGCGCTGGCTGGCTCAGGGCTTCCTCTCCTTCCCTTGTCTCCTGGTAAAGCGGTGGCAAATGTAACGTGACCAATACCAGCTCGTAGCCGCAGTGAATTTTTCAGACAGGGCACGTGGTGGACATGAGAGCCGCCAGCACACTGGCAGGAAGAGTGGTGTGTGCCTTGGGGCACCGCTCTGTGTGCATCCGCCCGCCTGATGTCCTCACACCCACTGATGGAGACTCTGCAAATGATAGAGCATCCGATGAAGGAAACATACAGATATAATAGACTGAGGACAGTGTTCATTCTGCAAGACAAATTACTTTGTGAGCATCTCCAGAAAGCTCTCCTAGCTTTCAAGCTTCATTTTAACCTTTGTTTCCATCCTGCTTTTAAACAGAAGTTGCTCCTTAAAAACTCAAAAAGACCAATGAAAATGCTCTATTCACCCTAGCTTGAGAGTTGGTTTTTATTTTTTTTTGTTTGTCTGTCTCTTGATGCATTTCATTATTCATAGTGTTTTCCAAAAGCCACGGTCCTTGCCACAGAGAGTGTGCTGATAGAGAATATAGGAAGATCCCAGCCACAAAGTCATCCTAATTTTTTATTGACTTCTTTAAATTATTTTTCGTAGTAAATACTTTTTTTGGACAGTCTTCTGTTAGAAACCTAATTGTCTGGAATCTCCTCTTTCACTGTTAAAAGTACTCTGGGTGGTTAACTTCTGTGCCGGTCAGTCGACCTTTGTGCTGGATTTTAATGACGGGGTGGGAGGTTGGAAGCTGCTTCAGGGAAGACTGCTTTGGGGAAAGACACATAATGCTTAACTGGTGAATCATTTTTCTCATCTGTCACCTATAAAAGAAGCTATCCTGGTATTTGAGATGACGATACCTTCTTGAGAAATAGTTCCCCAAAATGGAGCTGTTAAGCATCTGCCTGGGATGAATGTGGCGGTGGTGCGGAGGGCTCCTGACGAGGCTGTTTGATGAAAGCGTGAAAATAACCCAGAGTGAATGAAGTTGCTCCACAGCGATATTCTGCGGTGTCATTAGTCTTCCAGAAATCTCTGTGTCTGATCTTAACGGTATCACTTTTTCTTTTCTGGAAAGAAATACAGACGTGTTTGTTTTAAAGGCAGGACGTTCTCAATCCTGGCCAGACTCTTATCATACCTTTCAGCATGGGATATTTTTACTGGCCAGCCGAGAGCGGCGGCAGTCCTGTGTTTACTCTGGCTGGGAAACAGGCGGTACCCCATCAGCCGGGCTTCCAGGGGCGAGATGCTGTCCTTCCCGCGCTCCTGAGCTGTTGAAAGTGATAATATTTGGGCACTCTTGTCTGCATTAAATCACCTGCCGTTGAAGGCAGACGTCTCCCCAGGGCTGCGTGAGCTCTTTGAGGAAGGTCTGCACTACGTCGTGTTTACCCGTCTGGGTTTCAACACCTTTTCTGTTGCCTCGTGCATCTCGGTGGCTTTTTGATCCTGCTAAGTGCTGTCAGCGTAGAGATTTACCTTC